AATCATTAAACATCTTTACTAACAGAACATTTTACAGAAATTTCAACGTTCCAAAGTTGAAATGATCAGTTGTTTAAAACATACAAACATATATTTTTATAACAAATGGAGTAAATACCTTTTATTGTAAAGCAGCTGTACTGTATATCCTTGTCACCATGGATACGAGTGTTAAAAAGTGTTGCCTAGGGCAACAGTGTTCAAAACATTACATTTAGTAGTTTCCTAAAATCAAATTAAAAATAATTAAGTTTATTTTATTTTTTTTAACTAAATCCTTTAACACAAATCATGGCTGATGAGTTAAATCCAGCTATAATAAAACGTACTCAAGAAACACTGGGGAAATATGTTAAGAAGCCCAGTTTAACGGAAAAACTTTTAAAAAAGCCTCCTTTTCGTTTTCTACATGATGTTTTCAGTGTTGTAAGTTCAAAATGAAATTATAAATTCTAATTATTTGCAAATATTAAGCTTTTTTGCAGGTTATTCGTGATACTGGTTGTTTTGATGGATTATATACTCCGGAGGAACTTACATATGAAAATATCAAGGATCGTGATGATAAAATGAAATTTTTACAAAAAATGATTGATGTGGTCAGTAAGTATCAGAAGAGTTAAGACTGGAAAATGAAAAGATCGTTAAATATTTTTATTTGTCTTAAACTAGGATTGACTACAGGCTCCTCGTTGGCTGTACGAACATCAAAAATAGTAGCTGGCCACGAAGCGGACAAAACAAATGAGCTGCTTCAATTAATGGGGGAAATAATCGATAAGAAATTAGATTGGCAAGCGGCACTTGAACAGGTACTATCTGGTAAAACTGCCAGTAAAGCATCCCCCAGAAAACCGAAGGAAAAGGTTTCAAAGGATACTACAACTAAAGATAAACATAAAGAGAAATCAAAAGAAAAGGATTCTAAAATAAAAGAACCTAAAATAGCTAAAACAACGTCAAGCAAAACCGTTGCATCAACTAAAAAGGATGAAAAATCTAAATTGAATAAAACCAAAGAGAAACCAATTACAAAATCCGTGGCTAAGGAGAGACCCTCTAAAGGAAACAAAGAACCAGATAAACCCGTAAAAAGGTCAACAAAAGAAACATCTAATACAAAAACAAAATTAACAAAAACTGAGTCACAATCGAGCAATAAAAGTTCTCCTTCACCCATTACACAAGAATCTACAAAAGAACAAAAATCCGTGGAAAATAAAACTGAGTGCAAACATGAAGAGATGACACAAATACAACAAATGGAAAATGTTAAAGTAGCCACTCCCCCCAGAAAATCCTCTAATAGCAGCATTAATAATGAGATTACGAATATAAATGAGGATGTTGTTGGAAATCAGCAGGATTCACTGCAATCCAGTAGTCATTTGGAAGAAGAACGTAGATCTGCAGGAAAATCTAAAAAATCTTCAGCTAAAACAAGAAAATCTAGCGCACGCAAAGTGGTGGAAAGTTTTGGGGAAACTGTTCAGGATATTAAAACTGCAAACAATTTGGAATCATATAAAGGGTCTTCAACACCTGAGAAATCCGATACAACTAAAGCTACTGATATGAGTTCTTCGCAACAGGAATTGGTCACAGTAAAAGTTAATCAGCACCAGGACTTAATAAAACAAATGGAGTCCGAAACTGTTAAAAATATTGAACCCAAAACATCACCCCAAACGCAAACTCAAAAACCCATACAAACGCAAGCATCACCTCCGGCCAGTTTAACAAATGAAATGAAACGCGAATCGACTTTTACGCGAGAAAACTCTAAAGAGTCTTCATCTAACCAAAGTTCATTAGTAAATCGACCAAGAACTTCATTAAGACCACCCAGTGCCCGACCGCCTTCTGCCCGTCCGGGTGCTCCCAGGCGACGAGATAAAAATATTGAAATTGTTTTGCAGCCTAATGATCAAATAAAAATGTCAGGCATACAAGTAAAATTGGAAACTTTCGGAGATCTAGATGATGATGGTGATAATTTGGTAATTATTGAGAATCCGAATACGAATGATATTACCACCGATCAACAAACAAACTTAACTGAAAGCGAGAAAATGATGCAAGACGAAACACTTGAACAAGGTCATTTAGTTCAACAAATTTTAGAGACACAAAAGGAACTAGTGCAAAATGATGTTAATAATCAGCAAAAAAATGATAAGGTATGAAGAAATATAGTATTGAATTTAAGACAAGGGATTTACATTTCTTGCAGGATTCCACAAATGGTTTAGTGATGAGACAAACATCAGCACGAAACATGAATAATTTGCGTGATGTTATACAAAATTTAACAAAATCTGTTAATCCATTGGGTAAGTTAATGGATTTTATACCAGAAGACGTAGATGCCATGCAATTGGAATTTACCATGTGCAGGGATGCTTATACACAAGCAGCCAATGAATTAAAAAGAGAAAAAAGGTAATACATGTTAAAAAAGAAATAAAGAAAACAAGGATTAATGTCTTTGCATTACTTTACAGTCTTACAGAATCGGCTACAGAACCCATGAAAAATCAATTAGTGCAAATAGAAGCCAATATAACGGAATATATGGAAATGATTGATGCAAGTCGGGTAAAAATTTTGCAAAATTCGGAAAAAATTTTGAAAATGTTAATAAATTAACTACATAAAAAGAAATCTATTCAACATATCTACATAAGCTACACCTAGTTTTGTATATCTGCACATTGTTAATTGTTATTATCATTTGATTATCACTCCAATTTGAACATCTCCAAACAAAGAAGGATGTTGTGTTGAGTGTTGTCACCAAAAAGAAAACAAATAAATACTATTATTCGTTGATTTCTTAAATAAATACCTAGTTTTTTTTTTTTGTAAATTGATGACTTTGTTATTATTATGATTTGGTATAGTAAATTTTGTCACCTCTTGATGAAATTGTTTGTTATTATTTCTTTGGATTTATTATTTTTTTTTTTTAAATTTTGGTACTTTTCCATTAGAAAATATAAATAATAATTTTTTATATGAGATCACGTTCCAGGAAATTTTCTACTTTGACTAATAATAACGATGACTTGCCAAAAGTTAAAAAGCTCTTGTAGGTTTTGGTTTTTTAATGAGTTTAGTAAATTTTGTCAAAAAAGTATGTTAATTAATAAAAATTTCCAAATTTGGGAAAAAGGGTATGTGATTAAAGTCATGATTACTTTTTTTATATGTGCATATGTATGCGTACAATATGTATGTATATATGTACATCTACATAAAATAAATCAAATTTTGCAAAGATTCTTAACACTTTGATTTTCATTACACTAATCCAATAGAAACCTATTTCAAAATTTTATTATTTGTCTAGTTTTTTTTATAAAAACATTAGAATATTCGCTAAATATTTTAACATTTATTTGCGATTTGCTCTATTTTGGACATATGCATACATATACATATAAACTAGAATATTGTTATGACTAATTTATGCTTATCTTCGTTATTATTATAAATATTATTTACATTATTTATATCTAATTTTTGATAAAAAAATAGATACACTGAGGATCACGCCCAATAAAATATTTCTAAAGAAATTTAACAAAGAATTTCACAATTTTTGGGGATGGACATGTGGTAAATCAGTGACTATTTAAAATTAGAACTTCAAGTCGAAAATTTTCATTGAAATCTGATGCCAATTTAAGATATTCTAGAAAATCGAAAATTCGAAAATAAACTTTAAATTCGAATTGAACTAGATGAGGATTTTTAAATAAATTTCGAAATTTCGAACTTACATATATTCGAAACGTTTTTAAAGCTATTAAAATAACCTTGAAACAATTGCGAATTCAAAAACAATAATTTTCACAATTTCGAACCAACAATTTTGAAATTAATTTAAAAATTTTCTGTAGAAATATCAAATCAAATAGTCTTTAGATTAAGAGAATTTAAAATCAGTTTTCGGAAATACGTACTTATTAGGCCTGTCACAGAATCGATTAATCTCGAGGATTAATAAAAATAATTTAATATCGAACGGTATTATTGAAATTAATTTCAAAAGTTTTGGTTGTGTATGCCATGTATATGGACGTTTAAAAATATCTTATGTATGGATAACTCCTTATAGGTCTGTCTCCACTTCAAATCTAATGCCTTAATAAACGACCTAACTAAAGAAATACATAAATAAAAGTCATTGAGTTTTGTAGTTTTTCATAATTTACGTATAATTTTGTATGCATTTTTTTTTATTAAATATTATAATTCGTTCGTATTATATAATATACATGCACATATTTAACATTCAACAGATAAGAAAAGGAGGTGGAGTATTTTAAAAACATACATACAATACATACTTGAAGATAAATAATGCAAGTAATAATTATTAAAATACCCATCCCATTCATAGAGGTTATTTTAAAAACATACCTATTTTTTTTTCTTTCACGACCATTTAAGTAAAATTTTATTTAAGTATAGAAATAAATTTGAAAAACAAAAATAATTTCCCTAATAGATAAAATTTTGGTGCGTTTTAGATTTCTTGATAAATATATTCTTCATTCGTTTATAAAACTAACTACAAACACAGTTTACTAATGAGTTTGTCAATCAAAATAAATTTTAAATCAAACAAAACCATTGTATTTAATATGTATAATAAAAATTAATACTTTATTTAAATTAAAAAAAAAAATAAATCATAATAAATGGAAAGAGTAAGTGAAACTATTTATGAAAGGTACTCATGTAGTTTGACAAAGGAAATGTTATGGGATTTAAATGAAAGTTATGTATAATATATGTATTATAGTATTTCAAATTTATACAACTTTAAACTAAAATAGTAGAGTATAGAGTAAAAAACTAAAATATAAAATATATTTATGTATAGGTGTAAATTAAATTAAATTAAACTACATTAATTAAAAAAAGAAAAATTATAGACAAAAAGCTGCATGTCAAGTTTATAACATTTTTATACATTCTTTTTTCTGTTCTTTACATCACATTTTTTCGCTAAATAATATAAGAAGACCTTTTATTTAATTCATTTTTTTTTTTTTTTGCTATTTTATACATTTTACTTTTTTATATAACCCACAAATACAAATACTGCCATCATATATTTAATTTATATTTCCCCTTTGATAATCTATTTTTGCGATATCAAATCAAAACAAAAATTCCAAATCATAACAATAAAGAACACAGTCAACTTATAACAAGTCGTATATAAAGAAATTATACAAAAAAATATTGAACTTTATAAAATAAATCATTGATTGAATTATTTACAATTGCGAACGATTTATAAAATTAACTGTTTTGAGTGTGTGTTGTTTGTGTTCCTTAAGTAGTAATCTTTTAGGTGAAATGGTGCTAAATATTTGTTTGTTATTGTTGTAGCTACTTAATTAATATTAAGATTATGATTATGTTGTTTAAAAAAAACGAACAAAAATGTTTTAAGTATAATTAAATAAAATAATAAAATTCTTAAAATTATATTTAAATTACAATATTAAAATTTCAGTATTGTTGTTGTTTATGTTAATTATGTTATTGTTATTATTATTAATATTAGTATTACTGATTGTGTGCTTATTAGTAGTTAAACTAGTATGCTACAATTCAAAAAAATCATCTTGTTGCTTCTCTAACTTTTTTAAAGAGTTTTGAACTTTTCTTAATTGTGTAGTATTTAATAATTGGGCGGTATCGGAATTACTGCCAGTCGAACTGTGACGTATGTGATGAGGCTGTTGATTTTGTTGTTTCTTATAGGAATTATTTAAATTGTTATTACGTCGACGGGGCACAACATCGGTGGCAACAAATAAATCATCATCAGTCTGATTAGTGATCGTTCTGCAAGAAAAGAATTGTAAAAAAATAATTAAAAAATAGCTCTATAAGGTCATCATACACTTTTTATACAGAAATAACAATATTGCATACTTACTCTTTTGATTTTTCCACATATTTGCGTGACTCTGAAATTGTATTATCAATTTTACTTAAGAACTCATTTATACTGCGTCGACTTTCTTCCTCGGGTGTCATAACCGCTGCCACCGAATCCAATGATTTACTCTGTTTATTATTTCCATTATTGCAATTGCTCAATGTGGTTTCATTTTCATGGTTCTGTACCAATAATTCACCAGCTATGGAATAGGGTCGGGTGGGTAAAGCGGCAGGACGTGGATTACTGTCACTACACATGGACGACGACGAGGCAGATGCTGAGGATAATGTTGAGGATGAAGTACAATTTAAAGGATCTCCACCGCTCATAACGACATTCTCCATGATATTGTGTAAATTATTTTCATTTTCACTTGTGGTTAGAGTTGAAGCATTCGGATAATAGGGGGAAGATTTCTCAACGGGTACTAATAAAAATTGACGTAAAAATAAACTGTCTGAGGCGAATAAACGATTGGCTCGGCGTATTTGTTCAGTCTGCAAGAAAATCAAAAGAATTAATTAAGTTAATGAGTTTTTAATTATTTAATTAATTTCAGCGGTTTATTATCAAATGACTATAAAGTTTTATATTACATGTTAAATAAAACATTGTATTATTATTAATATTATTATTGATAACTGTCAACTAAATTGATTGATTGATGATTGTTCATTTCAAACAACGTATTTTTAATTTAAATCTACAAATAATAAATCTATTCATAAATCATACCTTAAATAGTAATACAAAATATTTATTTATTACTTGTATTAACGTTTTCTAAAAATCCTCAAAATGTTTTATAATTGCTTTGAAATGCATTTCTAAATCTAGATATTTTGTTTTATTTATTTTGGCTGTATTTGTTACGATCATGATAAGCTAAATACATATATTTATTTACTTATGAGCCGCACAATTTGTTGAAATGAAAGAAACAAATCTTCTTTATAGTAGATACAAAGTTTTGTTTAAAACTCGTGATTTAAATCTTTGACAGTTTTTTTTTTTAATTTTTGTCTACTCTACTACTTGGTTTTGTTTTTGTTTTTAACATCTTATCTCAAGATTTTGAATAGTTAAATAAATAACACAACATTTTTGTTCTAATATAAATACATACTGTCATGACTGGGTTCGCGTAGCATATGGCTTAAAAATAAACATTTGTTAAATAAATTTAAATTTCAAATACAATTTATTACAATAGAATATGGCAGTTCATTCACAGTAATAATATTTTATTAAAAAAATATGGAAGATTTATAGATTTCGTTTGAAAAAAAAGAAAATAGAAATTTTCATATCAGTTCTAGTTCAGTTCAAGTTCTAGTTTATTTCAAGTTCATTTCTAGTTAAGTTCTAATTTATTTCTTTAACAAATCTAGTTCAGTTTAACTGATTTCAAATATACTTTTCCAACTTAAAATTATTAAAAAATTGCCGAATTTTATTATGGAAAATTTCAAAATGGTTTCTGTAAAATTTATACCACAGATGTGGACTTAATTTGATGAATATTTTGCCATCAAAATCATTTATTATAACACTGATGATACTACTAATTAAAAAATAATGTGTCATGCAAATGATGTTAGACAAAACTCTACAATTGCTAAGGAAATTGAAAAGGTAAAATTAAGATAGTAAAAAAACGGTAAGATAAAGATATTTACAGTACTTAACCACAAAGATTGTATTGTATAATACAATTTAATAATAGGGAGACAGATACTATAGTACAGAATAATAAAAATTTCAGTAGAATTTAATAAATAAATTAAGTACATGTGTTTAAATAAACAATAAATCAAGCGAATACAATTCAATTGATACCCTCTCCTATAAATGCATAATAAATTTTAATATTTTAGCAAAAAAAAAAACAGCAGCAATTGTTTATAATTATTTGTATATACTTGTAATTATCGCTTGTATTATTATCATACAATAAAATAAATAAAAAGAGAAGTAGTAGAAGTACTTACAGTGCAACCATATTTTAGAGCAATGCCCTGTAATGTGTCGGTTTTCTCGACATCATGTCGCACCAGGGTCTCATTGTTGCGTATCTGATGATTACAGCAAGTGCTGCCGTATTTCTTTAGAGAACGTGCAGATTCGCGTATTGATTGTTTTTCATTGAACATAAATTCATCATCCATATCGGGAACAATTTCATGGAACTGCAGAGAAAGACAGCAAACGAATACACAAAAGAGAAAGTCACAATTAATTACTAACATACATATACAACAGATTTTTAATAATATATAAAAATTAATTTGTGTAGCCAAAAGAAAAATAAAAAACTAGAAATTAATAATAGAAAACAATTGAATTTTTTTCGATATAAATTTATTGTATTTTGTGACGTCATGTGACTGCGCAGTTTTTAATTACAATTTAAGTTACAACTTTTTTAAATTTTCTTAGTTTTAGCTTTAAATCACAAATTTACAAAGAAATTTTATTTATAGCTTTTAATTATTTTTCATTTTAAACAGATTTCTACTTTACACATTTGTTGTTATCTTAGTATTAGAAAAAATTTAGTTCAAATTTACAACAAAAATAAATGAACCCATTCACTTTTTTTGCTGTAACATTCCCCACCTCCCGCAAAAATTTTAATTCATTCGATTTTTTTACTTACACACTTTCACAAACAATAATAAACTAAATATCACTTTATGCAATATAAATTTAATTTCAAGTTATTAAAAATCTACTTTAAAATTGTGTTATTTACTCGTTTAATTAAAATTTTTTATAACAATTTACTTATTTCAAATGGATATATACTTTTTGAAGCGAGAAACCAAAACAAAACCCTTCACTGAAATGAAAAAACCAGACTGGCGTTTGACATTTGGTACATAAAGAAAGAAAACAGCTGGTACCAGTGTTGCTGAGTGTTGTTGATTTTCTGAGATTTTTTTTTGCATTTAAAAATGTTTAAAACAAAATTTTTATGAATTTGATTACATTTTGTGATTTTGTAACAACAAAAACTTTGTTTTGAACTTGAATATTATTAAAATTTATGCATGAAAATGTCTTCTTCGCGTTAATTGATTAAGTGGAAACAAAGCTCTAAAAGTTAGAAATTGAGTTATATTTTAAAGAATTACAAATCTTCAAACTCATTCCGTTTGATTTAATTTCTAGAATTAATTCTTAAAGCTTTCGATGTAATTGAATTAATTCTCTAATGAATTAATTCCTATAGAATGTTAAATTCCTTCTGAATGAATTAATTTTGTTTGCATTCAATCTGTTACAAATTGAATTAAAATAAATTTCAACAATTCCTATTGATTTTTAAATTCCCTCTGAATGATATAAATTTTGTTTGAATTCAATCTATTACAAATTGAATTCAAAAGCATTTTGTATATTAAAAATTGAATTCAATTTTTTTTCTTTCATTCAATTTGTAATAGAAGGAATTAAACAAATATGAATGATCATTCAATTGAATTCATTCCTATAAAGAATGAATTCTCTTAGGAATTAATTCAATGGAATATAAAGCCAAGGAATTCAGCTTTAGAATTTAAATTCAATGAATGATTTTAAAGAATGGTACATTAAAAAATTTAAAGCCGAATTAAAAATATAAGGGAATTAATTCCAAATAGAATTCATTCTTTCCATGCTTTGAGTGGAAAAGACAAAGTATTAAACGTATGCGTTTGTGCTAATGTTTGTAATACAAAAATTATTAATTCTGTACCCTTATAAAGAAAAAAAAAAATTACTATAATTGGATATTTTTATCTTTTGGTGTTCCTAATATTGGATATTTAAAATTTCCCGGGTTTTAATTCCTAAAATCTACTGTTTTTTTTTGCTGACGCAGATAAAAGTAATGCCAAGTTTCATTTGAATGGTGATGAAAACAATATAACGGTTCATTTTAAAATTTAAATTAAATATACATACAGGTTTACTATTTGTTTGTTTTGCTACGTCTGTTTTGTTACTTTTAAGTTGAAATCATGAAATCTTAATTAATTTTTTGCAATAAAAAGTGAAATTTGTTGCTTTTCTTTCGTTCTAATTTCACGTGATAGTAATGTTAATCTACATATCAGTTTAACTGGATAAAACCTGTTTAAGGCAAATTAGAAAAAAGAATGAAGAAAATTTAAATTTATTTGTACGTCTGTATATGAGTTTTGCAATAGATGTGTATTCATACTGAGCAAATAATTATTTTTATACCCTACACCACTTTAGTGGGGAGGGTATATTGGGTTTGTGCTGATGTTTGTAACGCACAATAATATTGGTCCTATACCCACCTTAAAGTATACCAATCGGCTCAGAATCATTTTCTGAGTCGATTTAGCTATGTCCGTCCGTCTGTCCGTCCGTCCATGTAAACCTTGTAATCAAACTACAGGTCGCAATTTTGAAGATAATTCAATGAAATTTGGTACATGATCTTCTATTGCCCCAGGGACGAAGCCTATTGAAAATGGTTAACATCGGTCCATTATTTCACCTAGCCCCCATACAACTGAACCCCCCAATAGGGCTTGTAATCCTTGTAATCAAACTACAGGTCGCAATTTTGCAGATAATTCAATGTAATTTGGCACATGATCTTTTATGGTATCGTAGACGAAGCCTATTGAAAATGGTTAACATCGGTCCATTATTTCACCTAGCCCCCATACAACTGAACCCCTCGAATAGGGCTTTTAAAACTTGTAATCAAACTACAGGTCGCAATTTTGGAGATAATTCAATGAAATTTGGCACATGATCTTTTATGGTACCGTAGATGAAGCCTGTTGAAAATGGTTTACATCGGTCCATTATTTCACCTAGCCCCCATACAACTGAACCCCTCGAATATGGCTTTTAAAATTTGTAATCAAACTACAGGTCGCAATTTTGGATATAATTCAATGAAATTTGGCACATGATCTTTTATGGTATCATAGACGAAGTCTATTGAAAATGGTTAACATCGGTCCATTATTTCACCTACCCCCCATACAACTGAACCCCCGAATAGGGCTTTTAAAACTTGTAATCAAACTACAGGTCGCAATTTTGGAGATAATTCAATGAAATTTGGCACATGATCTTTTATGGTACCGTAGACGAAGCCTATTGAAAATGGTTACCATCGGTCCATTATTTCACCTAGCCCCCATACAACTGAACCCCCGAATAGGGCTTTTAAGTTCATAATTATGTTTAATATACTCATATCTCGACAAAAAGCTGCAATAACCAAGTTGTATACAAGACTTGATGACCCCCACGAATTCCATAATAATAGGTTCTCATATGACCCTAGCCCCTATGAAAAGCCCCCATCAAAATTTCACTTAAATGTCCACAATTTTATCAACAATAAACGGCTTAAGTATGTATGTATTATGGCAACTAAATCACATTATATTTTTTTCAAAGGTGTAGGGTATTATATGGTCGGCCTCGCCCGACTATAATTTCTTACTTGTTTTTTCTTTAAACATGTACATATCTATCTATTTGTCAATATTATTCCTGTTGATGCTTTTGTTTTTTTAATGGAGTGGTAAGTACGGGCATAATTTAATTCGATTAAATTCAAAATCATTTGTTGTTAATAAATAAAACAAGTAAGAAAGTAAAGTTGGAGAAGTTCGATAGTAAGATATCCTACAACATTATTTATATCAACTAACTGCACTCCGAAAAAAATAAAAAGCTTGTTTTTTGGGTATAGTTTGCTTACAAAATTTACTGGACGGAAATATCTGCAAAAGTTATTCTGAATATATTGTTATAATTTTAGAGCTAAAGATATCAGCATATCAGGATATAAAATAGGCGGATATATAATAATTAACCAAAGAAAAAAGGTTTATTCAATTGCATCTAATATTTTTCATTATACATATATCAGAAAAAAACCCATCAAACTGTCAAAGTTGTTCAATTTACGTCATTCCCACAAAAAAAAACATCGAACAGCATTAACTCTTCATAAGCGAGAAAATCATCAATAATCATTATAAATTTTCATTAAATACAGGTAAGTAAATTATAAACAAATTGAAAACTTTAAACCCCCTTTGTTTTTTAATAAAAGACAATGGATGGGGTTTTCTTATCAACATTTATAAAAAATATACAATTTTAACTCATGACTACTTAAATACCTGTATTAGTTAGTCAGTCGTTATTTAACAAAATTTATATATTAAATATATGATTGTTGGTGTTGGTCTTAAAATTGGCCTTCATTTTCTAATTTTAATTTATAATAACAAGTAACAATTATAAAACATTTCTGAATTTTTAAGCCCCCTTTATAACTGAAAAGGTATTTTCGTGTAGTATTTGCCTCGTGTAAACAAATTTTAAAAATTAATTTTCAATTTCAATATCAGCTATTAAATGTTTACATAAGAATGTATACATATTTATGTTTGAATTTTATTTGAAATTATTTAATACTTTTGATTTTTGTTCTGCAAATATTGATTTATTTATTGCAATTACAAATTGCCGCCATATGCAAGTGCAATAAAAATAAATATGAATTAATTTAATTGTTTTAAACAAAGATACATGTTTATGTTTGTAAATTTAAATTACAAACATATGGTGGAACTGTTAGTTTTATTTTAATACGAGTAACCCCATTATCTCAATATCTGGTTATGTTTTATCGTAAGGTTAAATTGACAGTTTACATACAAAAATATTTTAACCAGCAGCATATCTACAGGTTAAACGATAACCGGAGGTGGATTTAAGGGGGGTAATTACAATTTTATCATCAGATAATTCCGCAATAGATTACAGTTTAAAGTCGATTCATATAAGATTCTTAAGCAAATTTCAAAATTTTAACTTGGAACTGTTTCAATTATGGGCCATTTATACACGGCCACTAATTTTTAACCAAAAGACTAAAATAAAGCACTGAACTGCGCTAAATTCGAATCTGAATCTCCATCACATGAAGTTTTCGTGACATTAAACTCCGTTTTGGCCATATTTGAGAGCGAAGACATTTTTATTTATAAAATTTGTGTTGTCCTCTGTCTTCTTCGAGATATTTTAACCTACATCCGGCAAAGTAATTAATTAAGTCCTACTGACGAATAAGAATTTCCCAAAAAGAGGAAATCACAAACCCTCATAAAAATACGAGGAAAATCCCTATTTA